TGCTCTATGACGCTGAATGTTGGCCTTTAAAAGAGAAGCATAATACTAAGTTAAGTGTTGTCGAGATGTGAATGATTAGGTGGATGAGTGGCTTTAGACTTAGAGACAAAATGTGAAATGAAAATATATGTGATAGGGTTGGTGTAGCTCTTGTGACGAACAAAATTAGAGAAATTCATCTTAGATGGTTTGGTCACATTAAGCGTTGACCATCTGATGACTGATGATCTGATTAGGAGAGTAGATGTTTTAAATTTGACTTATGTTAAGAAAGGCAAAGATAGACCTAGGAATACTTGGGCTTATTCTATAAAAAATGATCTTAATTTATTAGAGCTAGATGAAAATATGACGCTAAATAGAATGCAATGGAGAAAAATGATTCATGTAGCCGACCCCACATAGTGGGATTAAGGCTTTGTTGTTATTGTTGTTGTTGTTGTTTTTGCTTATGTTGTTGCATCTCTCATTTACTTTTCAGAGACTTTTGTTATTTTCTTGTTAATTTTTATTATAAACTTTGTTAATGCAATAATATTACTTATTTTCCAATGCTTAATTTTGCATATCTTGCTTAAAATTCATTTTAGATTAAACTTTTCTGTTTTGAGTATTAAATAAGTTTAATCAATCATGGCTTTCGAAGTTTACCTTACGAGTTAAGGCCAATTCATTCACCATGTCCCATGTTACCAAAGTATACCATTTTCCCGAATCGAGGTGTGTCACCAATAATTTATATCTTATTCTTGCATTTGTTGACTAACTAGATCCATGAAGAAAAATGCCAATAAATAAATAAAATATATAAATATTATGTAAAAAAAATTAAAAAAGTTTAATGTGAAATCTTAATTTCAAGAATAAAAACTCTGGTTAAGATCTAAACTTGAAATATTGCTTGCAAAATGATATGCAAATTGCAAATTTTAAATAGGCGTGTGAAAAATAGCGCTGCTACTCCAAATTATTCGTTTGACTTTCGATCCATAACCATATATTTCATCAGATATTTTCACACTGTACATTATTTCAAACACCATTTATTGGTCGTTCATGTTACCATGGAGATGAAGGCTGTGTAGTCTCAATTAACTAAATAAAAAAATTGACAATTAATAATTACCTTAACTTGCTTTCCAACGGATGAAATATCATCATCAGCCTTGGGCTCAAGGAAGGGTTCACCTTTGGGGCAACGCTCCACATAATGTGCATGTACAAGCTTATTGAAGTTGGCAAGCACATCTTCTCTTTTTGCTTTGCCTGAAACAAGGTTAAATATTAGAATACAAAACAAGCAAGAGTGATCACAGTAATCAAGTTGAAAAATTGAATAAAATAACCAGGATTTCATCAAAATTCTCAAAGTGGATATTAATGTAAACAATTTGTTCACACCTCCACTTAGCCCTGAAGCTCGATCATAAAGTAACTGAAAAGTAAGCCTGCCATGTTGAAGAAAACCCTCTAGAAGTTCTGTGTACTGCAGTGGTAGAGCAAAACCAAGTTGGAATTATACAGATTCAGAAGACAGGCGAAGTTGCTTTCATTTTTTTCCTCCAAATTAAGGCTTCATTCTATGCAATAATGTGTTGTTATCAAAGTTAAAAGAGATAAACTTCACTTTACCAATATGAGAATGACCTCGAGTAGAAATAAAAACTAATAACAAATCAAAGCATATACTCAACATACCATTTAAACTATTTGTGGGTTGTGAGTATAAGTGATCATCTTAATCATTATTCCTCTCCTATTATGTTAGTTTGATTTAATGGATTCTCATTTCCCATTCATTCATCTAGAGTGCTAGATGCAGCACTAGCTCAATCCTACAGTTCCTTTTAGTGCATAACTGGGAGTCATTTTACCTTCGGTTTTACCCCTTCTCATTCAATAATTTCTCATTGATTATTTCTACTTGATCTGTCGAATGAATTCTTGTCCTCTATTGAATAGGTGTAAACCTCGCTAAGCCAATTTTCACCTTCTTATTCTTTACAGGATATCTTAATGATGCACCTTCTCACTTCACTATTGTTGAATTCTACATGTGTTGATGTTATGTCTCAAAGTAAATCTTTCACATGAAATTAACCATATTGCCTTCGATATACTCAGTTTTCTTCCTAATAATTGTATGTTAACTCTATCTAATTGCCTTATCAATGCTTTTTCTAAGCTTCATTGCATATGTCAAGCCACTGAAACTTATTTTTCACTACCTAATCTTCCCCAAGTGTTGTTCCCAAACTCCCTCGAATAAAATCATTTCACTTATCATACTTAATCATGTGTTTTCTCCTTTGCATGTGGTAAAGACATCTAATTTTACTTTCATTGCCAAATTCTCAACACATGCTATTCCCATCCTTTCGCTAAAAAATCACTTCTCAATAAGCCTTTCTAAGCTGTATTGCACATACAATTTAGCATTCTCATTTCCATCACATTTAACATGGTTAATAGTAAATTTTTTGCCGTCCAACACTAAAATTCTTATGGCATAGTTGGTCAACTTACAATTTCATTAACTTAAACTACAATTATCCATGGCGTCCTATTATGATAGCCTTTTAGTTATGGTTTAATCCATACATTATTATTTTGTATAATAGGTCCAAAATATTTGCAAATGTCACACCTATGAGCCACTTGATCTTCCAACAAAATATCAAATAACCATTAGCATCACATCCATTGATATTTCATAAGATGTATTCAAACTTAGTTCTAGGCGAAGGCCACTTAATTTCTAAAATGTTTATCCAGTGTTTTGGCATTTCTCGCTTTAAAAAATGACATATCTTTCATAAATACACTATTTACAAATAGCAAGAACCAAGATGCCTAAATTGTAGACATCTGTATACCCAATATAGACAGAAATTTAACACTTATCATTGATATAATCCTATGGTGATTAGAGTGATTGAACAGTATACAATAATTTTAATGCTATTACATCACGTGCCTTTTAAATAACTTCAAAGCACTTTGGAAAGCAACTTAATAATATTCATCAAATCAATCTCATAATTATTGATCATACTCCCTTTCAAGATCCTTTTCATTACTCTGTATACTTTTAATAGTTGCATCAAGACAAATGTCATTTATATAATATAGCTTTCTATATCAAATAAGTTATCTCCAACAATACTTAATATAAGTTACTAGGTCTATGCTTCATTACCCTCTCCCTTTAAGGTTATTTAACTCATTTGAATACCCTATAATAACAAAAATTTTGAAAAGCTCCATTAGCTTCAAAAGATACTTACAAAGCTATAATAGATCATAGATGATTTGATTGTAACTAATCAATGCACTATATATGCTCACACAAATTTCCCCTATAAGGAATGTGGCACAAAACAAGGTTTATTTTAACTGTAGGTGTTGAAGTTTTCCAAAGGAACAAGCTCCCAAGGCCAATTAAATTCCAGGCATATCCAACAACACTCTTGATTAAGAAGCCTCACTTGTGTTTGAATACTTGTATTCATTAGAGCGCATGTTGTGGTCTCTTCCAATATTGAAGGATGTCTCTTCCAATATTGAAGGATGTATAATGAAGCTCAAACATGCGAGAATAAGACAAAAACAATGGGAATCTAACGCTAAGAGGATAGGCAACTACAATATGGGTAAAGCATGTAGGCTAATGAGAATCTAAGGTTCAAGGTTATTGTATAAGAATGTGGTAAAAATATTTGAAAGGAACTAATGTATTTGCAGGGCGAGGGCTCACAATCATAGAAATGTGATCAAGAAACACTAAATCTTAGGTGTGAAGGCACCTTATTCCTTAAGAGACCTAATAGATTTGAAAGAAAATACATACCAAGCATACGGTTGCTCAACAGTTGAAAAGATCCAAAGGTGATTAGACTTTATATTTTAGAAACATTGAATGAATCCCAATCATTAAAATGTGATCAAGAAACACTAAATCTTAGGTGTGAAGGGACCTTATTCCTTAAGATGCCTAATAGATTTGTAAGAAAATACATACCTAGCATATGGATGCCCAACAAGAAGCTAACAGTAGAAAAGATCCAAAGGTGATTAGATTTATATTTTAGAAACATTGAATGAATCCCAATAATCAAAATATCCCACTAATATCGCTATCAGAAGTTGTTGGAGAAAAAAAAAGTTTACAACCCAAGGGGTTGCAAAGGAAATGAATAGAGGGAGGTAAAGACTAACTTACAAGATAGAAAAATGCTCCTAGTCAACATGCCATGGTTCCATCATTTTCAGATGTTGAGCCCTAGTCTAAATTAGTCATAAAGCGACTTCAAGATCCTAATTAGTAATTAAGAGTTCTCTCATTGAATGGTATTTCAAAAACCGATGGGTCGGAATCTAGCTCTTGACTGATAGGTGGAACTTACAATCCCTTGTTACATGAGAGAGAATCGTATATTTGAACTTACAGTAAGAATGATACCCCTCCATATAGTAAAGAAGATACCCAAGATGAGACTTGCAGCTTAATCATTTGAGATTAAGAAGCTCGTATACCTTATTGTGATAGAGAATATATCTAAGACGAAATTTACAGCTTAATCAGTTAATCTTGTGGGATTAAAAGACCTGGAAATCTTACAACTAACATATGATAAAAATGTTATCTAATAGCTCCTCATATATAAAGAAGTAATCTAGCCTTCTAAGCCTAATGAACAAGAAGCAATCTCAAGCTCAATATTCAAAAGTCTCTAGCTCGGTCTCTAATGCATTGAATTCAAAAATGGAAAACAAAAATGAAGTTCAATCTTCATACATGTTACATTAGAAGAAGAGGAATCTGACTCTGCCACTATGATATGTTGAATCAGATCAAACAATCGATCTTTGTCTTTGAACGTATTAAACCTTATATGCACACTTTGTCTAGAAACATATTGAACTAGAGAGAAGGGGTATTGACTCAACTGTTGAAGTTTATTAAATCAAATGAATGACTGTATTCATGGGATTGTGAGTTGACACTGGACATATTGAACTTCGCTATGTGCATGGGGTCATTGAGGTTAACTCATATAGTTAAACCAAGAGAATATATGTATACTTGTAGTTAAGTTTTGATTAACTGGACCCATTTGAAAAACTAAAATAGTTGTTGAAGTAATTAATCGATCTATATTTGCATTTTGTTAACTCAATTGGTGGTCAAGCTAAACCAAAAATATATATTTGAATTGAGGTTTGAGATACTGATAATTGAGAAAATCAAATAATTAAATCAGGCATCATCGGATGATTTAAACCTAAACAAGAAATTCCATGTCATAATTGTAGAATGCATCCCATGTTTCTAAGGTGATTGAATCCACAGATTAGAGAACTAATCATCACGGTCATGGGTTTCCTTGAAAACAGGACCTTATAAAGTGGAAAAAATGATAATTTTATAAGATGTAATGAATATTTGATTTTGAAGTATTTAGGTTTTCTTGACCCAGACGTGCTCAATGATAAGAAAGCTCAATTGTGAATGGCATATAAAAAGTACAGAAGTCCCGCATATCTATGATGACTAGAGCCTCCACCTCTGAAATATTAAGAAAAATTGATTTTGAGGAATTTAAGTTTGGTTGACCCATATATGCTTAATTATAAGAGAGTCTAAC